CAATTTCCAATTGAATCTTTGTTTCTAACCTTTCTTTTGCTTGGTATTTGACTTTGGTTGGGTTCCATTTGTCCACCCCTAGTCCAATGCAAAGTGTACTTCATACCCTAAAGGAAGCCTACCATATTTGTGTCTTGCCAGCTTTATTCTCTTCTCTGGAGTGACCCTTCTTTCCTGTAACACTCAGGTCAAAAGGACACCACTGTGAGAAGAATAAGATGCTAAAACTTGCTAGCTTTTGCTGGGACTGGAACATCTCCAAGTAAAGGAATCAGCAGCAATATGAAGTCACAGTTCATGATCTAGCAGCTAAACCACATTGTTGATTTTTGATTTCAGTGAAGATGGCAGACAGTATGATGAGGCAGAGTGAGGAGAATTGCAATTGCTTGTTTAGAAACCTGTTTTTCCAAAATAATAAATTATAAATTACTTGCATAAACGAATTACCTTTTTCTAAGCTCCCCACTTTTTCTGAAGATACAATTCCTCTTGAAGATCTTACCTGCTTTTAGCTATATAATTTGGATGTGAATTAAAGCCATCCATAACTAGAAAAAGCTGTTAAAAAGAACAAATTGAAAGCAAAAGATTTGACCCTTAAGACATGCCAAATAATAATAGTACTTCACAATGGTGAAATGGCCTCAGCAAACACATCAAGGATTCAAGTTAGAGACAGTAGAGTCAAACTTTATATCATTTGTGCTACTGCCTGTCGGCAAACATTTACAAGCCACAAGGATAATACAACTTGTTCATCACAGAATTTGAGATTGCATGTGGTATGCAAGAGGGGAGAAACCCTCTGCATTTCTATCATTAGTCACAAGAACAAAAAAAAGAAAAGATGCTAGTGTACTTTAGATACTAAATAAATAGATATGATACAAACAAGTTCCTTAGTTCAGGATGAAAAATGTCATTAACATCGTCTATTCAAGGAGAAAATTTCAAACATTTCATAGGTTTAATCGGCTGGCACACAATACATTAACTTTGTCGATCGCCACCCTCCGTGGGTTAGCTCCAATGGCTCTTTTGTAAAATCAGAGCAAATCGAGTTGAATTGGGTGATTTGATTTTCTTCCCTCCTTTTTCTTTTAGCCCTCTTTCTATTACTCTTCAATCGTTCTTTAGTTATCATCCCCTCCATTGTCATCCCTAGATAACATAGAGGAGGAGGGAAGGGAGAAAAAAAAAAGGTTGAGAACGAGTGAAGGGAGGAGGAGAAAGAAATCGATGAGTATGAGAAAGGGTTAACTCGAATTAGTTCACTAATCAGAATCGAGTAATGAGCGACATGACGTGTCACGGCAAAAGCCCCACGTGGGCGCCACTCTGCCCGATGAGGAGAGCAATAACGTTGACTCGACTCGTGTTGGCGACACCCGCTATCAGGCAACGGCTTCCAACCCCGCACGCTTGACCATGGCAGGGCGGGACGACTACCGACCCTCGCCCATACCCTGCAACGATCCGGTTCTCCACGCAACGTCAGTGACGGTGTCAGACGCCATCAGAGGTGCGACCCTGCCTCACACAGGTGGGTACACCAGGAAATGGTAAGCTTCCCCATAAATACCCTTGCGTTCTAAACGGAGGGGGGGACAGAACACACACAAGAGCACTCCCTCTTCCACCACCCTCTCCACGTCGCTAACTTGATCGTCGGAGGGGTTGGGTTGAGCCTCTGACCCGACCAGTGTGCAGGTGCGAGACGAGGTTGCCTCTTCCCCGACGCTGCGGCAGAGCTCTCCCCCTGACGGGACATCCAGATCACCGAGGGTCGGCCACCAGAAGGACCCAAGGCACGCAACGCAAGATCCCCGCCATTCGGACCCCTGAACCAACCGCGTCGACCCCGAGGTCACGGCTAAAAAAGTTATTTACCATAACAGATTGGCGCTAGAAGGAGGGCCTCCGAATGTCGATCGATCAGCAGACCCACTTGGGCGAACCCGCAGCTACGGGGCCGCGCTCGGTCAGAACCCCGGAAGATCATCCCTCCCGGGAGGGGCTCCGAGACAAACGCCCCGCCATGACTTCGGAGCGATACTGGCGGCTGTTCAAAGACCCGGGCTTGTCGCCACCCGACGCCCCCGTCGGCCCACCACTCGTTTCGCCCGAAGCCTTCCACGATCTCGCCCACCAAGTGCGGGCACTGGCGGGCGTGGTACAAACTATCATCCCGCTCGTCTCCCAGCCAACGCCCCCACATGCAACCCGGCCTTTGCAACAGCGGGAGCCCGCCCCCCGGATGCACGCGCTGCTCCCCGAGCCCCCTCTATCGCCTCGAAACCAAACGACCCCGCTCGGGGACCGGGAGGCGGAAGGCACGTCGAGCCGCCCGGAGCCCGAACGACCATCCATAGACCCGATGAGCACCCTGCGGGCCCAGGTGTGTCTCTTTAATCAACGCCTCAACGAAGTGCAACAAGAGATTCGCAGGTCAAATGGGGAGCCCGGGGCGGACGGATACCAAGGGTCCCCGTTCGCACCCGAAATACAAGATCAGGCCATTCCGTCACACTTTCGGCTCCCATCCTTGGACGCCTATGATGGCGCCACTAACCCCGCGGATCATGTAGCCACGTTCCGCGCCCAAATGACGCTATACGGGACTTCCGACGCCTTAATGTGCAGGGCGTTCCCGACAACTTTTAGGGGACCGGCCCGCGCATGGTACGGCGGTCTCAAGACCGGGACCATCACTTCCTTCGACCATCTCGCCCGGGACTTCGAGCTCAACTTCCTCGCTTATGCCCGCCCGAAGCCGTCTGTGGCGCTGCTCCTCGGGCTCAACCAAAGGGAGGATGAGTCCCTCTCTCACTTCTTGAACCGCTTTACGACACAGATCCGAGGACTCTCGGATGCTCACCTTTCTCTACTGATGCAGGCATTCATGATAGGCTTGCGGCCCTCAAGGTTCTTCTGGTCCCTAGTAGAACGACCTCCTACGACGGTGCCCAAGATGCTCCAGCGTGCGAGTCAGTTCGTCACCGCGGAAGCATGGATGGCCGGGAGGCCCGGGGGACACAAAGGGACCAAGCCAGAGCCGCCTCGGCAACAGCAACCCGCGGCATCTCGGCGTAGGTTGGACCGATCCGATCCGCCTACTCCGAGGCCCCCTCTCCCAGCCTTGAACTCGTCCCAAACAGAAATATTCCTTCACATAAGGGAGAAGGGACTGCTCAAAGAGCCATACCCGATGAGAAGTCTGCGGGCGCTGGCGGACCAATCGAAGTATTGTCGCTTCCATCGGCAACGTGGGCACGACACTGAACAGTGTCAGGAGCTAAAGAGACAAATCGAGGAGCTCATTCGCAGGGGACACCTCGGCCAGTACCTCTGCCCAGATAAGGAACCTTCGCCACGCCCAGAGGGCCCTGTCGAGCGACACATCGATGTAATAATAGGCGGCCCCGCGTCTGGTGGGGACTCCATGACCAGAAGGAAGGCGTACGCCAGAGCCGCCTCGGCCGAAGCCCCCGGACACGCGCCCAGTCCTAACGTCACCTTCCCGGCCAGAACGTCCGAACAAGCCAAGCACGACGATGCGCTCGTGGTATCAGCCAGAATCGCCAATGCACAGGTGAGAAGAATCATGGTCGATACCGGGAGCTCGGCCGACATACTCTACTACGATGCCTTCCAGAAGCTCGGTCTATCCAGAGACAACATGAAGCCGATATCCTCGGCGCTCACCGGATTCACCGGTGATTCAATCTCACCACTAGGGGCGGTCACTTTGCCCTTAACCCTGGGAAACCCGCCAAGGTCGAAGATAATAATGACCTCCTTCTTGGTAATCGACCTCCCCGTCGCATACAATTCCATTCTCGGTCGGCCGACCCTCAACAAAATCAGAGCCGTCATCTCGACCTACTACCAAACTGTGAAGTTCCCGACCGACGCCGAGACCGGAGAGATCACAGGAAGTCCTCGAGAATCCCAGCGCTGCTACCTGACCGCCGTCTCGTTACACAAGAAGGTCAGGACCGAGTCACCGTTGGCAGACCCCCGAGAAACGCAGAAGACGACTCCCCATCTTGAGCCGAGGGGTACACCATCGCTGTGCCGCTGCTAGAGGATCGGTCGGTGCAAACGGTTAGGATCGGGTTGGAGCTACCCGAGCAAGAACGAGGACAGCTCGTCGGCCTTCTACATAAGAACGCTGATGTCTTCGCCTGGTCGCCCTCTGACATGACAGGCGTCGACCCGGAAGTTGCCCTACATCACCTCAGTATCTCACCTGAAGCCCGCCCAGAAAAACAAAAGTTGAGACGGCAGGCCCCAGAACGGTAGATAGTCGTACGAGAAGAAGTGGCTCGACTCTTGGAGGCAGGCTTCATAAAAAAAGCCAATTACCCACAATGGCTTTCGAATGTAGTCCTCGTCAAAAAAGCTAATGGAAGCTGGAGGATGTGCGTTGATTTGCACCAGTCTCAACAATGCATGCCCGAAAGACTGCTATCCCCTTCCGAAGGTCGACCAAATGGTCGATGCCACGGCAGGTCACGCCCGCCTCTCGTTTATGGACGCCTTCTCGGGATATAACCAGATCAGGATGGCACCCGAAGATCAAGAACATACGGCCTTTCTCACCGACCAAGGGGTTTGCTTTTACAAAGTCATGCCTTTCGGATTAAAGAACGTCGGGGCAACGTACCAGAGGACGGTGAACAAAATGTTCGCCCACCAGATCGGACGGAACATGGAAGTGTACGTCGATGACATGCTTGTAAAGAGCCAAGAGGCCGGAGCCCACCTAGCCGACCTGTCCGAGGCGTTCGCCACATTGCGCAAGTTCGGCATGCGGCTCAACCCCGTTAAGTGCGCCTTCGGCGTCACGTCAGGAAAGTTCCTCGGGTTCATTATACACGAAAGAGGGATCGACGCCAACCCAGAAAAGGTCCAGGCGATCATCAACATGCAACCACCTCGCACGATCAAAGATCTACAACGCCTCAACGGGAAGCTCGTCGCCATGTCCCGCTTCCTCGCCCGATCGGGTGATTGCTGCCTCCCCTTCTTCAGGGCACTTAAGAACCCGAAGGGTTTTCAGTGGACGGCGGAATGCGAGAAAGCCCTCAAGCAAGTGAAACAACACCTGGCCAACCTTCCTCGGCTCGCCTCCGTCTCCCCCGGTGAGAAGCTGAGCATCTACCTGGCTGCCTCCCCGCACGTGGTAAGTTCCGTCCTGGTTAAAGAAAACTCCAGCGACCAGCTCCTGGTCTACTATGTCAGCCACGTCCTCAATGGTCCTGAGGAACGATACCCGCCGATCGAGAAGCTAGCGCTCGCGCTCATATTGTCTGCCCGGAAGCTACGCCTTTATTTCTAGGCCCACCCGGTGGAGGTAATTACGGACCAGCCGCTTCGTTAGGTCTTGTCCAAGTTTGATGTCGCAGGACGGCTTCTCAAATGGGCGGTGGAGCTCGGCGAGCAAGACATTCAATACGTGCCCAGGACAGCTATTAAAGCCCAGTCCATGGCCGACTTCATCACAGAGTTGACCCAGATCGGGGATGAGAGCCTCAGACAGCCTCCCGAGGCCTGGGTCCTGCACGTCGACGGTTCGGCCAACTCAAAAGGTGCTGGCGTGGGGCTGGTGCTGCACGCTCCCGACGGGCGATCGTTCGAACGTTCCCTCCGCTTCGGGTTCCGGGCCACTAACAACGAGGCGGAATACGAGGCGCTCCTAGCAGGACTCAGATTGGCCCTCGAGATGCAGGTGGTTGCCATCCACATCCTCACCGACTCCCAGCTGGTGGCCGAGCAACTCAGCAGAGGATACGAGGCCCGCGACCCGACCATGGCGAGATACCTGGCACAGTTAAACAACCTGACCGCCAAGTTCCTTCATTTTACATTATCTAACGTCCCGAGGGCGGAGAACGAGCGCGCCGACACGCTAGCTAGGCTGGCATCAAAACCTGTCCCCGAAGTCGGGCTCGAGGTCGAGGAGCTACCCACCCGCGCCATCGAAGTCGCGGCCGCAGCTACGGGTGGCGCGCCCATCACCTGGCTACAAGAACTGCTCCACTTCAAACGGGACGGGACTCTCCCGCCCGACAAAGCCACGGCTCGGCGCCTACGTCGCTCAAATGCATGGTACACCGAGGCGGGTGGACGTCTCTACAAGCGGTCCTTCTCGTACCCCCTCCTACGGTGCTTAGAGCCCGACGAAGCCCGGACCGTCCTGGTTGAGGTCCATAAAGGGGTCTGCGAGGAACACATCGGGGGGCGAACCCTGGCGCATAAGATACTCCGCCAAGGCTACTACTGGCCGACCATGTGTCAGGACGCGAAGGCCCACGTACAACGGTGCAGCTCATGCCAAGAACACGCCCGCACACCCCGGCTGCCCGCAGTCCCGTTAACCCCCATCGACTGCGCATGGCCATTCGCGCAATGGGGTTTGGACCTCCTCAGTCCCTTCCCCCCAGCATCGGGACAGTGGAGATACATCGTCGTAGGCGTAGATTATTTCACAAAATGGGTAGAGGCCGAGCCGTTGGCGACTTTCACGGAACGACAAATAGAAAAGTTTGTGTGGAAGAACTTGGTGACTCGGTTCGACCTGCCGAACACCATCATCATAGATAATGGGCCCCAGTTCGCTGGTCGGAAGTTTCGGGAGTTCTGCGCGTACCACGGAATCCAGCTAAGGTTCAGCTCAGTGGTTCATCCTCAGACAAACGGTCTGGCGGAGGTAACCAACCGGTCCATCCTAGACGGGCTCAAAAGAAGAGTGTCCGCAGCTCGATCAGCTTGGACGGACGAGCTCCCTAGCGTACTATGGGCGCTACGCACCACTCCCAAAATCACGACTGGAGAGTCCCCTTACAGCCTCGCGTTCAGAATTGAAGCTGTCCTCCCCCCCCCCGAGGTAGCCATCGCCACCCTTCGAACACGAAGCTATGACAAGGAAGCCTCGGAAGAAGGACTTCGAGCCGCCCTCGATCTGCTGGAGGAGCGGCATGCCGATGCACATGTAAGAGCCCTTTCTTACAAAAGAGCGGTCGCAAGGGTTTACAACCGAAAGGTACGACCCCGACCCGTCAAATTAGGCGACCTGGTCCTGCGAAGGACCGAGGTCAGCGATCCGACCCGGGCACGAGGCAAGTTGGCTCCCAACTGGGAAGGGTCTTATCGGGTGACCGAAGTTATCGGAATCGGGACATTCCGACTCACCACGATGACGGGTCAATCGCTGCCAAGGACTTGGAACACCCAAAACCTCAAAAGGTTCTTTCCATAAGCAAGAGACTTGGCCAAAGAAAGAGTCGTACCAAAATACAGACAGATGATTGAGAAGAAGAGCAAGACCATGTTTTATTCAAAAAAAAAAGCGCGTTACAAGACAAAGCAAAAAGAACAGAGATCTTCATTCCTCAGGGGCATCTGGGCTGTCGTCAAAAGGAACCTCAGCTGGCATGTCGACACCCAAATCCTCCGGGAACGAACCAAAGGGATCCTCTACGACCTCCGAGTCAGGATGGCGCGCCTTGAAACGAGCAAGGGCAACCCGATACCCGTACTCATACGAGACCCGCCCGGTCCGAACAAGGCCGAGCTGGAAGCCCGAGGAACCCTTATAGTCCTCGATCAGCTTCTTCTCCTTCCCCGGCCATTGGCGGATCTCGGCATCCAGGGCCTTGGAGGCCCTTTGCGCCTCGGCCCGCGACTCTTCAAGGCGCCGGATCAGCTCGAGAGAGTCCTTCCTCGCCGAGCGAGCCTCGGCCACCGACGCCCTCAAATGAGTTTGGAGCTTCGTATTACGCTCCTCAGACGTCTCCAGCCATGCCTGGAACTCCACGAGCCGCTCCGTAGACGACTGGAGCTCAGTTGCAAGGCGCGTCACCTCCGCCTCCAAATCCGAGGTGCGCTGCTCGGCCGCCGCAACCGCCTTGGGACCCGCTCCAGCCCGAGCCTCGTCCGCCTGCCTCCGGAGCTTGGCATTACGGCTGCTCAAAGCGGAGATAACTCGTCCCGCGTCGCGAACGCGGTCCATCAGCGCAGCAGCATAGTGGTTGCCCTGGTGAAAGAGCAAAGTCAAAACAAAGCCTGTCCAAAAGTATGCAAACGGGAGGACGAAACAAAACTTACCCACAATAGCGACTTAGCATATTTGCTAAGCAAGACCTCGGAGGACAGGGTATACAGATCCCGAGCTATGTCGGGGTGAAGCCCTACTCGCACAAACCTGGCCGCACAGTCCCCGTCGGCCCACACCTGGCTGCCCCGGGTGAGACCGTCCCACCGGCCTGTTAGCAGATCAGTGGCCGCGCCGCGCGGGAGAGCGCCCACCTCCCGCGCAAAGTAGGGCTCGTCCTCCCTCCTAAGCGAAAGACGAAGGAGCTCACGAATCGAGGGCTGACGAGGCGCCTCCACCACCGCGTTCCCGCTCGTACCGACCTCGCCCTCCCCGAGGCTCCACGCGACGTTAGCTGCCGAGGCTATGGTGGCTTCCACCGCCGATGCGACAGCGCCTTCCGCCGTCGGAGTTGCGACCGCCTCAGGACCGTCGCCCGGAGGCACCCGCGCCCTCTTCCGAGGCCGACCGGCCTCGACATCCACGGGGGCCTCCCTTGTACCCGCCCTGACGACGGAAGGCGAACGACCCGACGCGGCCGAAGTTCTTCCTCCACGCAAGGCTTCAAGAAGCACCATCTCTGCGAAGAAAACGACGGTCAGCTAAGTGGATAGTCCACGAGGGAAAAGAGAAAAAAAACCCCTAAAGAACCGCCCCTTGGAGCGTACCTAGAGGCACCGGGCTAAGACCCGCCTCCACCAACCACCGCTCGAACATATTCCGGATGGCGTTGGAGGCCAGGAGGATCTCTCTAAGCCTCCGGAGCTCTCGGCGCCCCTCATCGTCCAAAACCAGGGCGGTGTTGTCTATCATACGCGCCCCCCAGCGGACCCCAAATCTCCAATCCCCCGAGCAGCAGACAAAAAAGAAGTGCTCCTTCCACCCCTTATTACTGGAAGGGGCTCCACCCACTCGGAAGCCCGCTCGGGCGGACATATGGTAGCCCCCCGACCCCTTACAAAGACGGAAGCAGGAAAGGAAGAGGGCAC